CTACAAAACAAACAAGTCTCTCAAAAAGGCTTCTTACGTTTTTTTTCTTCTTCATAAATTAGATTATTATTATAGACACAAATTATTTTCATCATTTATTGGGTATTTTTGAAGATCTGATTGTTTTCTCTGGGTTTGTTTTAGAGAAAGATCATATTCAAAAAAAAAAAAAAGAGCAAAAGATGGGTTTGGATTATTACAACATATTGAAAGTGAACAGGAATGCAACAGAGGAGGATCTGAAGAAATCATACAGGAGATTGGCTATGAAATGGCATCCTGACAAAAACCCTAACACTAAAACTGAAGCTGAAGCCAAATTCAAGCAGATCTCTGAGGCTTATGAGGCAAGTCTTTTTCCCATTTCTTTTCTTACATAACCTTCATTTTCTTGATCCCTTAGATCCATCCCTTTGGCTAATAACTCAAGTTTCTTGGGATATAAGCAAAAATGTATCTCCTCAAGCAGATTTTCTGAGGCATATAAGGCAATGTTGCTGCATTGCTAACCAAAAACATCCAACGTTTTCATTTGTTTGATCGAAAAAACCAGAAGAAAGTTCGATTTCTAATGTGCTTCAACGATCAAAACTTTTTTTATTTGATTTTGTCCTAAGAAAGAGTTTTTTGGTGGGAAATGTTTTCAGGTTCTGAGTGATCCGCAGAAGAGAGCGGTATATGATCAGTACGGGGAAGAAGGACTGAGCGATATACCGCCTCCCGGGAGCACGGGAAACAATGGAAGAGCGAGCGGTTTTAACCCGAGAAATGCAGAAGATATATTTGCTGAGTTTTTTGGAAGTAGTCCATTTGGTTTTGGATCAGCTGGTGGTCCAGGAAGGTCAATGAGGTTTCAATCTGATGGAGGAGGAATGTTTGGTGGATTTGGCGGCGGAAACAATGGAAGCGAAAATAACATTTTCAGAACTTATAGCGAAGGGACTACTGCACCTAAGAAACCTCCTCCGGTTGAGAGCAAATTGCCTTGTAGCCTTGAAGAGTTGTACTCTGGATCAACTAGGAAAATGAAGATCTCTAGATCCATTGTTGACGCTAACGGGTAAATTTTCTATTCGCTTTGTTTGTATTTCAAGTATCAATGTATCATTGGTGTTTCTTGAATGGTGATTGTGCAGGAGACAGGCGCAAGAGACAGAGATTCTGACTATTGTTGTGAAACCTGGATGGAAGAAAGGGACAAAGATCAAGTTTCCTGACAAAGGAAATGAGCAAGTGAATCAATTACCCGCTGATTTGGTGTTTGTAATCGACGAGAAACCGCATGATTTGTTCACGAGAGATGGGAATGATCTCATCACAAACCGAAAAGTGACGCTCGCAGAAGCTATAGGAGGAACAACTGTTAGCATCAACACGCTCGATGGGCGGAATTTACCCGTTGGTGTCACGGACATCGTCAGTCCAGGGTATGAGCTTGTGGTTCCTGGAGAAGGGATGCCTATCGCTAAAGAACCAAGGAACAAAGGCGATCTCAAGATCAAATTCGATGTTCAGTTTCCGACAAGGTTGACAATGGATCAGAAAACCGCACTCAAGCGGGTCTTAGTTGGTTGAAGAAGAGAGATTTGAAACCTCTCAATGCTCTTACAGTCTTGATGATGGATACCTTCTGTTCTTCCTGTTGTTCAGTAGTTCTTGATGGTAACAGTTTGTAGCATATTGTTCATGTGTCTGAAAACAATCTGTACAAATCTTTGATTGCATTTGCTTACTTTAGTAATCCAAAATCTTTTCAAACTTTGATGCTTAAAGACTCCATTATTCAAAGGTTTGCAATTCTATTGAAAAGCTACAAACAAACAAAAAAACCCGACCCGATACAGAGGTCAACACATCTAACAAACTATAATTACAGAGGAACAAACGCATTCACAGAGATCAAAATCCTCTGTTCCTACGTGCACTGTATTGTTGTTGTTTAGCAGCGTTTTGATTAGCCCTCCATCCACCCGATGCTCCAGCACCAGGCCGTTGTGCCGGTGGTCTGGCCACGGTTCTGCTATGAAATCGAGGATCCAACTCGGTCCTGGAGTTAT